TATTGTCAATGGGGTCCCACCACATACAAAAGAAGAAAAATTGGCCCAGGGGCAGGGGCAGGCACAGTGATTTTGCTAATTATACAAAACTTTACATATTTGCTTGCTCCTGTACAAAATCCTAAACTGGATGGATCATGGTTCTGCCCCAATGCAACATATCGCATCTTTTTATGTATAATACGGATAGTAGTGACGTTTTCCATAAAATTAGGGTTCAAATCTAGTATCATTTCTGTTTACCTCTTCCTCAGGCATTGCAGGAAGAATCTTTTGCTGGGTTGAATAGTATGGAAGAGGAAGATGTTAAAGTACCTAGTCCTGAAAAATCAGACAATGCTCCTGCTAAAGCCCGGACTCCAAATAAAGATGATGTTGACAGTAATGGCAGTTCAAGTACAAATCCCACATTACTGAATGTAGAAGAAAACAAAGAAGTAGCTTCTAAGATTACAGTGGAACGTGAATCACAAAATCGCCCAAAAGAAGTGCAGGACCCATTAGCTGAACTCAGATTACAGTCTGAGAATATTTTAAGTGGAAATACTGTAGCTCTGAGAAAACAGATCAAAGTGTCTGATGAATTGGTGGGTGAGTTAGATGTAAAATCAAATGAAATGACATCTAGCAATCTGTCTGCCTTAGTTAAAAATGCATCACCCATATCGCCTTTACCGAGCGGCAAAAAACAATCAATAAAATGTGTTGACAATAATGAAAAGCCATCTAATACACATGAAATAGCCAGCCCAGTAAGGACTACTCCTTCACCTCACTCTGAAGAGTCTCTGCACAGTCGGAGAAGTATTTCCCGTCATTCACTTTCTGAAAGGAGTCAGAATACCTTAGAGCAACTCCTCTCTGATAAAGAAAACAATACAAAGCTTGGGAGCATGGATAAAAAGGCAGAAAGATCTCCTACAGAGGCAGGTACTCAGAGGAAATTCTCTGTATCATCTGCCTGGGAAAGGCCTCGGACTAATAGTTTTAATCTGAAGGCAAATAGTGAGGGTGATGCTGTAAAAAACACCAAATTGTCTCTTCCAAAACCTGGTGCGTCTAAAGCCGAAAACACAAAAGAAGATGACAAACCTGCTGCTACTGCCCAAACTGAGAACAAGCTCACAGGTAGGAAAATGGAGACATTAACTGACCCTGAGGCTGCGCCTTCAGACAAGCCTTTCTCTGGTAACATTACCTCAGTCCAGAGCACAGTGCCAGCTGCCAGTGATTTATCCATGGCTACAGACATCCAGACAGTTACTGAGGACAAGAACCCTTTTTTTAAGTTAAGACCCACATCGCTATCCTTAAGATACAGGCAAGGCATGAGCCCAGTCATTGCCACTGTGAACAGACACAGCGCGGAATTTAAACAGGAAAAAACAGGATTTGTAGCATTGTCCAAAGATGAAATACATGAAGCTGGCCACGTAGACCTCACTGCCAGCTCTAAAACTGAGATAAAAGAAGATGGTGTTAATGTTGCAGAGACTAAACCGCCACTACCCAAGAAACCTGTACTGCAAAATATTACAGTTGCAGATAATAACACAAATATAGAAATGACAGAAAACGAGTCCATTCAAGAGAAAAAGTCAAAATCACCTGTGGTAAAAAGTGAAAGGAAAGTGTCAGAGAGAAGACCAAGTGTGCAAAAAAATATTGGTAAGCTCTAACTTCTATACGTCTCTATATTTCGGTAGCTTATGTTTCCTTAGATGCGATGGTTTCATTAGTTTTCTTTATTTACAATTGTCTCCCTTTTTTCCCCTGGTAATCTTCGAATAACATGTATCCAATCCCATCATGTTTACGCTTTCTTCTCCTCTGTATCTATAGAGGCAACCATTGTTGCCACACAGCCTGGATGTGATAAGGACGATGCATTTGTGATGAAATCAGCAGGTATTTTCTCTACTTGCTGAAAATGTTCTTTGTCTGAAAAATGAGACCTATGCAACCACATCTAAGAACTGTAAACTGTTGCTATAGATTTTTTTTAAAAATTTGGGTTTAGATAGGCGCCTTGGGCTTTTAAACCATCTCAAATGATTGTAAATGTGTACAATAACGTTTGTTGATAATGTAATACTAGTTCATAACACATGGGTACATCTGCAGGCCCTAAAAACCCTCTTCCTCCCTGATAACTTTGCAGGGTTTCTTATCCCTGTGCTATACTATTTCTAAATACACAGTAACAGCCACTTTGCACAGACCCCAAGATACAAAAGGCCAATTTGGCAAACTGTTGTAGGAGAAATATTGATTGAACGGATTAAAAATCCTCCCGCCTATGATAAGCAGAGCTAGCAGTGTACTCCTGTGCCTCTTATCTCCTCCATCATCTCATCTCTAGTACAATCATTCAGCAAAGCCCAGCTTTCATATTTATGACCAGATCTACCTTTACTGCTGCATGACTGGGGCAGATCATGCAAACATGTCCGCCTGCACTGCCAGTTAATGGGCACCTATAGAGCTGCCCGTTGTGTCTGTATGGCCAAAGATTATTCCAGATGCAGTAGACAGTAATGGGTGAAGTGGTGCATGGGCTTCTTAGACATGTGAGGCCTGGTCACAGCTGTGACATCGTGCACAACTGTTCTAAAGCCATTGGTGCCCCCTACCTCCAGTAATCCCAGGATTGCAGGCTTTTGCTGCTGGTTAGAATTTCACATTTGTATTCATTCTAATTTTTCCTTTTAATACAAAAGAAATTAATAATGGCCTCCTGTAAAATGAGAAATGGTTTGGCACATATGTTTTGGAAAGACTTATGCCAAGTTAGCAGTCCAGTGTTTGTCTTATTGCTCATTGTAATGTGATTATAGATCACAAATCCTGGGCTGACAAGTATGCAAATGGTACAATTAGTCACACTTAACAGAAGGTGCACATTTCCATAAAGGTTTTACAAACATGTCAATATAATTTTAGAATTCATGAACAACAAACATCCTGCTGACTGTCTCATTCCCTTTAAATAATTTTAGCAATTTGCAACCGGTAATGGTTGTGAATATGAATTAGGCATTGTAAATTGATAGAATACATTGGTAATAAACTATACTTATTATAAATATGCTTTGAGCAATATATTATAAAACATATAACTCCAGTGTCTGCCAAATGGTTTATGGTTGCATTGAGATTTAGATTTAAAGTAAGTCCTAAGCAGTAAGATTACTAAAATGTTTATTTTCACTTGAACTGTACCTAAAACATGAAATATGCACACACACATTATTATCTGATTGTACTGTTTCTGCATTCTCATCTGCAATCTTACCAGAAACTATATAGTGTAATGACCTGCCTAAACAATTCAATTGAAATAATGTCTGGTCAGGCAGGCCCTTACACTACATAGATGTCAAAGGACTGCAAAGTTTGCAGTGTGTTCAAGTCTGCCCAAAACGGAAATGTTAGACCCAATGATAGGAGTTTTAATATACCTCCATGGCTCCACTAGTGATTTTAGCATATGAGAATGTCATGGCAACATATTTACAATGAACTGTGTGTGACTATTCAAAGCAAGTCAGCAGTGCATTCTGGAAAGTTTCCAAGGTGATGAACAAGGCTGTTGGATTTGCTTCATTAGTATTTGTATTTGTGAGAAGGTAACTAAAAAGTCATATACAAGGAGACTAAGGCTGGGTTCACACCTAGGCGTACCGTGCCGCCCGTTTTTACCGCGATTCGCGGTTAAAAAACCGTGCGACAAACGCGTGTTTCCGAGGGCTACCTGACTGTATCCCAATGGATACGCGTGGCAAATACGCCCCAAAGAAGCTCCTGTACTTTTTTGGGTGTAGGGCATTTTACAGCGCGTTCCTACGCGCTGTAAAACGCCCAGGTGGGAACCATGCCCATAGGCAATCATTGGTTTTCACATGTTGAGCGTTTTACAGAGCGTAGGAACGCGGTGTAAAACGCCCAGGTGTGAACCAGGCCTAAGAGAAACACACAATGCATTTACCATATCTTAGCTAATTGCAGTGTCTCTATAGGCATGCATTTAAAGTGACAGGTATATGTACTCGTCTACTTATGTTTTCTTAACCGTGCAATGTAACTTAGCACACAGTGTAGATAGGATTGCGTTTAGCCCTGAAAGATGCACACTTGCCTGTATCCAAATTGTAGTCAAACACAGAAGAGGTTTTCTATTGATTGTAGTCAAATGCAGGAGAGTTTTCCTATTGGTTGTAGTCAAACACAGGAGAGGTTTTCTATTGGTTGTAGTCAAACACAGGAGAGGTTTGCACAACATACTCGCGTATTAAGGCACAGTTACCTTACAAGTGTGCCCGTCTCCAGCACTGTTAGATCAATTTTCGGTGATCAGCTCTGTCCCTCGCCACTGCCATCACTATCTCATAAGTCCTTTCTCGGAAGTCTTTTTCGGCCATTTGGGGACCACTGGTGATGAAGCTAGCCATATAATATGCAAATTTCGGCCGGTTGATCAAGAAATTTGCACTGTGGGTGCTGAGCGCAGGTGGCGATTGGTAAATCTTTGAACAAACAGAGCATGCAGTCAATCAGCGGCCGCTGTCAGAATACAATGAAGACAGCAGGAGATTCATCGATCAACGTTCGTAAACATTGATGGTTGAATCTGTTATACTTTCTTCGTTTAGCCCGCAGGTTGAAGGAGAAAATATTACAGTGGATGAGCAGCTTTACATCCGCTGTGGCACCCGGTCCATTCACGGCATCTTAGAGATGCCGTGAATGGGCTGAGTGTGTACACTACACGGTGCATGCAAAGTACATTGTACACAAAAAGTAAAAAAATCGAGGCCTTTTTTTTTTTTGGCAGAAGAGACTTTGCATGTCTTTTTTTGCCAGAAATCCCCACCTTCCAGCAATGTTTTATTTTCCTGACTTTGCTTCTGCTTTAATACATTAGTGGCTGTATGATTGATTGATTTTGCACTGAAATACTTTAAATATGCTGGCTTTCTGATTTTATGTTACCAGATAAGACCCCTCCTGATGTCTTGCCAACAGAGTCTGGTAAGGGAAGTGAGAGCAAAGTGCATCAGCCTTCCTGGATGTCCATGGCAAGACAGAAACAGCTCAGCTTTAAGGATGAACACCCCATCTCTAATCAAAGAACTGCAAACCAAGAGGCTGACAAACAGAACAAAGAGAGGACAGAGGTGATTTCCTTACTATTCACGCAGCATTTAGTAATAGAACTTTATCCTGTGGGAAACACTGTTGTTCTAGCCTCTGCATGAAAGATACTTCTTTTTTTCATCACACACATTAGCCTTTATTGTGGAGACAGATATGCAAAAACAAGTTTGAATAGTTAAAGGGAAACTCCACTATCAGTGAATTATAAGTGAACTACTGAAGGGTGGTGAGTTGTAAGTAATCTGTGATTAACACTCATTGTATATCATTTTTCTTTGAATCTGTTTGTTTAATATTCCTTACCATGCACTTACTGGATCTATGAGTTAGGCTAATGAGTATAGGAAGTGTTTGAAGGGGAATATTAAACATTTAAGGTCTGATTTAAAAAGCAGCAGTATGGCTGTGATATAAAAAGAAAAAAACAGTACTTGCACATTCATGAAGTACAGCAATCTTATTTATAAATTTGAATTGCTCTCAGCTGGCTCCAGGACTCTGATGGAACTTGTGAAAAAAAAGGAAAAGCCTAATCATATGACCTGTGAAAGTCACAACTGGCCCTTCAATTACAAGAACTCTGCTGCAAAAAGCCCACATTTTATCTATGGGCTTTAAATTGCAAGCCGTGGTGTATGATTGATAGTGGGTAGTGATATCTGCTCTCCTTTTTAAATGAGCCCCCTGGTAGTATTCCCAAAGCACTGTGGTATATGGATGCTGTGGTGTGTCCTAAAGTCAGGTGAACTCCAAAGGAATTTACTAAAAAAGGTGAGAGAGAAGGACCACACCAATATGCATTCCCTTTAAAGCAGAAGACTAGTGAACAGAGACATGCAGGATTCATTTACACACTGAACTTTTCCAATATCCCGAACAATCATGCTTAGTGAAGGATTGCAACTCATTTACAGGGTTATTCACAAAAGGGTGAAGAAGAAGAACAGGAGAAGTGAACAATCTAGGACAACATAGCTGAACTGGAAAGTGAGATAAATTGGAGAATGTTTCCAAATCAGTTATGTTGTCCTAGATTGTTCACTTCTCCTGCCTTCTCCAATCTCTTCACCCTTTAGTGAACAACCCTGTTAGTATTGTCCTTCTCTATTTATATGTAAACGCTCATTCATGCATATGCTCTTTTAAACATATTTATGGGCATTTTCTGCATGCGTGTTATAGTTTGCGTTAATTCATGTGCCCAATTAGTATACAGTAGTTTCCATTTAAACTAGCAAAAACTAACAAAAGGTGTGTGTGTTTATGCACAATGTGTAATTGAATGTGTATTATTACACTTCATCTCCAGCTACACTTTATGCAGTATTTTTGTAATAAGTATTAATATAAGCCCTTGTAAAAGGACACATCCACTGATAGCAAGAAGAAATACTTAAACATGCAGACAAACAGCAGACAAACCACACCGGAGCGAATATGGAATTAGACATAAATATCTGGTATGTAACTTGTTTTTCTTGAGAATGCATTTAAATGACTTGCATTAGTACAAAATGTTCTGTTCTTCTCCAATCCGTTTAAGGTTCATTTAAAGCAACAAGCTGACCAAATCCAGAACAAAACTACAAACACAGCAGTTGCAGTTGTTCCCGATGAAACAAAGATTGAAACGATAGAGCCAAGACAGCGAGCAAACACGTTACCGTATCCTGTCCCTGGTAAGACGGTAGCTGTTACTGGTTGCTGCTTCATTTCTGCAGATCAGAATTCAGAGAACACATTCATATTGTGCTCGTTGGCAGACTCGCAGTGCAAAGAGCAGAGATGATGTTCAAAGAGCAGTAACCCATAGTGGCCAATCAGATCCAGCCTTTCATTAGTTTAGCGCAATCAGAGCAATGTAGAATGTAGCATGTGTTTATTTAGTAGGCCTGCTGATTCTCAGAGATCTTTAATGACACAGCGGGGAATCAAACTCCCTGCCTTTTCACCCAAAACAGAAGGTCTATATTTGGCAGACTTCTGATTTAAAGCTTATTCTCAATCAGTATGATTTGCATGTGTGTTTGGCGGACAAACAAAGATATCTGGTCCATACAAATCAGTGCAACATTCATAAGCCAGACTGATCATTTCAGATCTTGGGATTTTGCACCTGTATATGCCAATTTTCTAAACTGAAATGACGCTTTTGCCATACATGAAAAATGTTTTACATTTTACCTAGTCCAGTTATTATTAGAAAGTGAGAAAGCAAGACCATTGTCTCCTGGAGTAGACAGACACACAGCACTGTTAAAACTGACCTGGGACCGCTTAATGGTCTGTGTCAACAGGCTTTTTTACGCTTCAAGCCGGTTTTGCTTTCCAATCTAAGTCTTTAGGTATGCTAAGCCCACTTGAAGCAGGTCAGAAGGAGGTCAACTGCAGGTCAAATGCACCTGTCAAAGAATTCTGAATATTCTCAGAAGCATCTTAAACTGAAGTCAGACTAAAAAGCTCTCCAACACCAGTTGCTATATGCTACGCTGTCTGGCTCTAAACACGGATATCAAGGATCAGTTTGTTTTGGCACTGATTTAGCTGCTATGATACCTATGATATCTTGGAAGCGGACTGATGGGATCTCTCTGCAGAACTGGTAGCTTTTGTTGACAATGCTGTGTGGTCCTTCATGTATAATTTAGTGTTGAGACTAAGGTATGGGTTAGGGTTTGGGATGTTTGAAATGTACTTAATATGTTAAGTTTTAGGTTCATTTTAAGCATACCTTTGGGTTTAAGTGGTAGGGTTACGTTTAGTGTTAAAGGAAACCTGTACTGCATAAAACAAAGGGACTGCTAGTGAGTTCTTTCCATAATTCTAGTTTCCAGGCTGTCAACCTGGTCCAACTACTTCAATTTTTTTATACAGTAATTGCTTCTATGTGTTGAGAAATACACAAAACCTTGGTGTTTTTTAGTCCGATGGCCAGTCATGGTATAGGTAGTAGTAGTTAGTCATAATTAAGTGGACTTGTTTACTAATGCTAAATATGTTTCTCAGCTTATCCAAGATGCTTCTTCAGTTATAATGAGTATCAGGATCATACCCCCAACATTTCTAGACGCACAAGTAATTCAGTCACCCTAATCAATTCACCATGGAATGTGTCAAGGCACATGTTGATTGTCCAAGAACAGCATGAAAGTTGTGGAACCACCCTGTTCTAATAGGATAATTCCCTTCCTTGGTGTTAAGAAGTGTGTAAGAGGTGTTAATCCTTGCATTTATGTGGCTGAAGATGTGGATTGTCAAATCGCTGGAGTAAAAATGTTAAAACTGTATTTTAAGGGGAAGATAGATGGTGTTGAAGGCCTCCACCCCCTAGGGATATCTCCAGTTTAATGTAAATGGCTTTTTTATGCCTCTTTCGAACCAGTTGTCCTTTCTGACCAGTGTGACAGAAGACAACTGGTTCGCGAGAGGCATTGAAGAGGCTTGGATAAGCTGCAAAATGTCTTCAACATTACAGGACAATTGCATTTGAATGTGACTTTTAATAGCCACATGGAAACATTGCATTTGTGCCTTTATAACGCATCTGTCAATATTCATTTATCTGCCTTTCACAGGTACTCAGCTGTCCTTACTAACAGAGAAAGAAGAAAAAGTTACAGTCAAGCGCCCAACCCTTTCTGTGTCTGAGCAACCATCTTGGATGGAGCTGGCTAAGAAAAAATCCCAGGCCTGGAATGACATGCCTCAGATCATCAAATAGGAGAAGAAAGCACTCCTCTTTCTCGTTTATATACCCAAAGTTGACTAGCTGCCAGCAGACCTTGTATAAGCACAACTACAACTGATTAAGGAACCTCCATTCGTTTTTATCGATCAGTGCTGTTACTTAAGGTGTAGAGAACATGTTAAATTATAGATCTATGCAATATAGGAGCTTCTACTTGTACATTGTTTTCTGAAGGTGTATGTTTGGAAAGTAAAATGGTTTTACCTTACCCAAAATACTTTATTTTTAAAGATTTGACTTGTTTGTTTTTCCATTAGATCATGTGTGGCTTTAGACTGTTTTTGTTACCGTGCACGAGGATGGCAATGTAGAGAATTTGTTCTGGTATGTGTGTTCCCCATTGCAATTGTCCACTCCAAAAACTTGCCCCTTCTTGCTCTCCTGGGGTGTATTCCTCCCTGTACACAAACTACCCAGTGCTACACTAGGGTGTGCAGGACCCACCAAACAGCACAACACAATATGTTTTACAAAAATATGATCGAATGTATGCATATATTTTGGTGGCTACCAGGCTTTAATACTGGCTAAACAAAGCAATTTTCAGCCAATTTTAACCAGATTTTCAATTGCAAAATCACCAAATAACAGAAACCAACCAATATCTTCTATTTACATGAATGTGAAATATCTTAGGGGATGGTGGTAGGTTGCCTTGCTCAAATCAGTTGTTACTGTGATAGTTGGTCAAAAGTGCCTGAAAATTGCTGTGTGAATGCATAATCTGTCAGCACATATGTAAAGTGGGCATCTTCAGGTGCCTGCACATATTTTCACCCAGCTTGTAAAGCTCCCCATTTGGCCCTAGAGGTCGGGAAGCAATAATATGCAGAGATGTCTTCAGGTCCTAAAATTGTGGTTGAACTTGACCTCTTTTTTCTTGTGGATATCACTATTGGATAGTGAAACTTGTCCTTCATAGTTATGGGGCTACATGGGAAGAGTCAAGTCCCCCCCCCCACTGCAATTTCAGGATCTGAAGCCACTATTTGCATATTTGAGGCTAACTTTAATCACTGCTTTAATGTAAACATTTCTTTCAAATTACATTTAGCGAATTAAGCATGGTGCAACTGCTTCAGTAGTTTTTTAGTCTGTAGATAAACTGTCAGCACATATGTTAAGTGGGTATCTTAAAGTTTATTGCACATATTCTCACCTAGCTTGTAAAGCTCCCTATCGGACCCTGAAGGCCAGGGAGCAATAATATGCAAAAATGCCTTCAGGTCCTAAAGTTGTGGTTGAATTTGACCTCTCTTGTACTCTGGATATCACTATTGGATAGTGAAACTTGTTTTCAATTTCAGTCAATATTTGCATATTCGAGGTTCACGTTACACACTGCAGATATTATAAAAACTTTTGTCTCATTAAGTACAGTGAAAATTAAGCATAAAACTGCTTTGGTAGCTTTTTAACGTGGAGAAAAGCTGTCAAACTAAAAGCTACGTACAGTATTTACTCATCCTTCATCTGTAGAGCTGAAACGTTGCTCATGCCTTGACAACTGATTGTAAGCAGAAATTATTCTGGCTGAAAAACTGTCCATGTGCCACCACACTACATTTGTGTGTTACATATTGTGGGGACTCACTTATGGTCAGTGCCCACCAATGGATTCTTTGGTAGGTGTACAGGTTAATTCTTAAGAAAAATGAAAATCCCCTATTAGGGGCATAATAACATGGTGGGGATCCGATCTCCCTCAGCCCCCCTTGTGTAGTAACATTGAGGGGACCTCATATCTACAGTCCTCCAGCAAAAAGATGACATTTCTAGGCTGACCAGTTCAACAGTGAACTCCGGAAGTAAGCAGCAGTGGATTGTACTGTAAGGCCATTGTATGTCTGAGGCCTAGTTGAAGTTGCAGCCGCTGTGACTCAAATTCTTAGTTCAATGCTTGCATTATACTTAGTGATCTTGTGTTTATGTTAAAGAACAACAATACTATTTCTTTGCATACAGTGGGAAACAAACAAGTAAAATGTGCATGAGTAAGTATATTCAGTTTATGAATTCCTTTTCTGTTTTTTTGTAGAATATTTCTTTATTTTTTTTTTTCAATTTATACATAATATAGACATACAAACATCATTGTTAAGAGACCACCGTATAATATTCCGCTAGTATTAAAACCATTCTTCTCCTTGCCGGTCTCAGCTAAAAGGGAGAAAAATAAAAAAAAACCTCCATGCCCTAAACCAAAAAGAAACAAAAAAAAACACCATATAAAAAGAAAAACCCTCTCCTCCCCTCTCTCCTTCCCCTCCCCTACCCCCTAATGGAGTGGCTGTACAGATGGGCCTCATATTCCTGATACGCACATAGTAATAATATCAAATACCTTTTTTTGCTTTTATTTCACTTTTTTTTTATATTTTCCCTACATTTACATGCAGGCCAAAATTCCCAGCAAATGTGACAGTGACAGGGTTAGGATAAAGTATAACGTCTCAATTTTTAAAGAAGATGATGGTTATATGTGCTTCTGACAGTGCTATAGTTTGTCCCAACTCCCGCCTATATGTAAATGTGTAAAAAATATAAATACAGACATATGCAATAAAAAAATAATAATTCCATCTTTAAAAGTACTAACGTCATACAGTTATCAGAATACACTTTTTGATATTGGTCCCCTATGTACCTAAAAAAGCCACTTTTCTGGGATTTATTATTAATTAGAACAAAGCTATCACTTCAATGGGAGTCTGGAATATTACTTTGTGGATCCTGATTTGCTGACATTACTATCCGAATAAATGTAGAAAGTATATCTCAGCAGTGGGTATGCTTATATTTTCTCTGTTTATTTTCTGATTCCATAATCAAGAAGTAAATCAAACATTAGATTATACTTTTTAGAACAATATATTCTATTACCCTGGCTTTGTAAATTGCCACAGGAATAAAATTATAACGCTATTAAATGTTGAGCCCCTAAAGAAAAATGGAAGCCAAAACTTTTTCTAGCTTTGCATAGAGAAGGGGAACGCTATAACCCCTGTGAGCTTTTTTTGATGTCTGTGTCCCACTGGGAACATTTCACATCACTTCCTGCCCAATAGCAACAACTGAAAGCGAGAGGAATCCCTCCAAAGTAAGGGAAATCCCTGGTGGTCAGCAGGATTACCAGAACTAGAAGTTATCCCATCAGGGCCTTCCCTGTAATATGGCAGCCTGAGGCTTTTCCTCAGATGGCATCTCTTTCAGTCACATTGGGGAGGGCAGGCAGAGCGGCATTGTCACTCTGCTGCACAATGTTTGCAGTGTGCCTGCCACCTTCTTTCTCGTCACAGCATCCAGGGTTGCTAAGAGCTGGTTGGGGCCATACGCATCTTTCTGTCCAACTCTTAGCAACCTGGGATGCTCCTGCCGTCGTCCCGCCGAGTTCCTGGCAACCATTGACATCACCGGTTGACAAGAGCTCGGTAGGATGCTGCCCATGCAAACCGCCGCCCCCCCCCCCCCCCCGCCCCCTGCTGCCTTAGGTGGCAAAAAGTCTTGGGACGCCCCTGTTTCCCATCTATTCCTGTTCTGATGACAACCCAACATTTTGAATTTTCTTTCACTTTTAGTAATAACTGTCACAAGGAGAAATAGAGGGGGCAAATCTACCTAATGGGGACACAGACAGCAATAAATACCTGACAGGTGTTCTAATCCCTCTTCACTCTATCTAAAAAAAAGAGGCTTCAGTTGCACTTTAAAATTACATTTGTATATATCTGTTGATGTGCATTCAGCATGGAAATGACAGAATATAGAATCCATTGCAAAACCCAGAACAGGCTAAGGTATACCTTTTTATACAGTAGCCAAGTCTATACCTCAGTTACCTATTAATAGCTCAGTATTGTATGCATTTAATTTACTGAAAGGGATCAAATTTGGTGTTATCTAATGCTGTACAGATTACTGATGTACAATTTAGATGTATATATGATATGAGAAGGTTTTATAGTGTCATAACTGTATATTAGTTTCCCCTAAATTCTTGTATCAATCCACTTGTTTTATACAAGAAAGTAATAAAAGCAATTATTAGACAACAGTGTTCATTATGTGTACATTCTAGAACCTATATGCCACATTTTTTTACTTTATCATTCCATAGTTACCAAGTAAATTTAAAGGCTACTTTTTGGCTGAAGGATTTTAATAACTACAATACTGTCTTAGAGGCCTTCAGAATACTACATATCCATAATGACATATTAACTGGATTAAAAATACTGTTCTACATTCCTAATTCCATTTTGCTGAAAATAATACAGCAGAGCAAGCAAGCATCAGTAAAACAGTTGAAAGTCATATATCCTGTATAAGCTGTTTTACATACCAAAAGTTAGCTAACCCAGACTTGTGATCACACAGAAAACCTGCGTCCAGGGATTGACGTCCTGACCCATATGGGGCTGTGCACAAGTACTGGTGAATACCAAAGTACAGCTATGTATGCCATTGTCTTCTATGGGAGGCTGTGTCCAGCACATGTGGCTACCTGGCAGGGGGAAATAAGCAGAAATGTACGTTGCACGTTTAGCTGCCCATGTGCATGAAGCCTTAAGCTGAACCAGAAACTAGGGATGTTATCTGCTAAGCTGTGCAGGGTATATGTGAGTCAAATTTTAACTGTGTTTTAGGTATCGTATTTTGCGTTCCGGACCATAGGACGCAGGGAGTTCCGGTGCGCCTTATGGAGCACTCGAAAGACCGTAGCTTCTGTCACAGCTTCTGTGACAGAAGCTGCAGTTAGTGACCGCTGAGACAGGTGGCGCTGTGACTACAGCGCCACGGTCTCAGTGATCACACAGAGCAGACGAAGAACATCCGTTCTTCGTCTGCTCTATGGTGATCTCGATCGACGCTGCTCGGTTTTAATACGAGTGATCTCATTAGATCACTCGTATTAAACGAGCAGTGGCTCCTACTGTACATTTAGCTCTGCTTCAGCAGAGCTAAATGTACAAAGCACTACTCGCTCCATAAGACGCAGGCACATTTTCCCCCTCCTTTTGGGTGGAAAAAAGTGCGTCTTATGGAGCGGAAAAATACGGTATTTGCCTGTAGTTTTATTATGAATGGGTAGTAGGACTTAAAGAGCTGCAACCCTGGTAGCTCTGCCACTGACTCTAATGACTCTAAGCTGTAGAGGGACTACAAATCTCAGCAATACATTATACAGCAATGCAGAATACCATGAGCTATAGAGGACTTAAAATCCCAGCAATACATTATACAGCAATGCAGAATACCACTAACTATAGAGGACTACAAATCCCAGCACTACAT